GGAATCTTGTCATATAGGGTCTAGGACCAAGGACAGACAGCTATAATGCATGTTAGTGCTCAGCTCACTTCCTCAACGTTATATCATCCACTGTCCCTCACCTAGGGGAAGATCTCACAGTTAAGATGGGTCTTCCCTCATAAATTATCCTAGTGAAGAAAGTCCCTACCAGGCATGGCCAGATGCCCACCTGCCAGGCGGTTCTAGATTCTGTCAAACTGACAATTAACACATGGCATTTCAAGACAGGGAATCTTGGAGACTATGTTAGCTAAAGACCAGGCATAGAAACCGTGGTGTCTCCTTCATTGACAGAAAAGAACGTCCCAAAGACAATGGAATACAACCTTTCAAGCTTTCTGTCCAACTTTCAAGAACAGAAATGAGTTCTTAAACTAAGGCAACAGAACTGAATTTTTAATACATCTTCATCTCACGCTATGGAAGACAGAGATCAGAGTGGGTGTACATATACTATAGTACTCGCCAACCATGTGGTCACTTGCACATGTCTCCCTGCACATCTCAGTGCATAAAACACTCTTTCACTCCATACCTATAAATGGTAGCAGATACTTCAGAGGTTTAGAAACAACAACAACAACAAAAAGCTTTTTATTGCTTGGGATCGCTGCAGCAACCATGCCTGCCTTCTCTCCAATGTGCATGCTTTTAGAGCTTCATGCACAAGTTCTGAACTTTAGTCTCTTTATTTCCCTTCTTAAACATATGGAATCACTCTAATACCAAACATCCTTACTTCTCTTTTTATCATGCTATCTGTATTTCCCATTCTATTCCCACTGTCCAAATTCCCACAACCAACTTTTCTGATGTGTTTATTACTCCTTTAATGAAGAGAAATCAACTGGTGTCAATGTTAATCAGGTTTGACATTAGCGCCCTGAGTTCAATCACAAGGTTGCCCTTTGGTCTGAGGTTTAACCTCTTTGATCCCTGCTACAGTGTGAATCGGATGTTTGATATTTGACACACAGGCCTGTGTGTCAAAGGCTTGATCCCCAGGGTATGATACTGGGTAGTGATACGCCCTATAGTAGGGAGTTAGGTCATCAGAGGAGTATATTTTCAGGGGGCTATAGGAAGTTACCCTTTTCATCATCTGTTGTTTGTTAGTGATAAAGTGACCAAGATACTGTGTCACAATGGAATGGCACTCACAATTAAAAATAATGGACCTGCTGATCACATACTGGAACCTCCAAACAGTGTGCCAAAGTACAGCTTTCCTCTTTACACGTCAATTACTCCAGGTCTATTGCTATGCTGTTGAAAAGCTCATGAACATAGCCCCGTTTCCCTTCATCTACACATGAGGATTCTAATGCTTTCACTTCGGGGTATGAGTGAAGGACAGATGTGGTGTAAGTCACTTCCAGCACAGTGTTCATTTCCATACTATGGGCTCAAGTGCAGCCTGGCCTTCATTTCCATAGATTCAATCTAGTGACTACACTGACCATGATACTGTCATGATCTGTCTCTATGGATAATTAACAACTGTGTATACAAGACAATGGATTTAGTCTTTTACTTGATTAAAAGGGCATTTGGAATGTGTCAGATATCTTATTGGTAACAGTATTATAATCTGTAATTCTTAAACCTCACAAGAAGTATGAATTAAATCTTCAAAAATTAGACTTACATTTTCTGTCCTGAGCAGGAGAACTTTCTTTGGGAGAATGAACTATCTGCCATCTACCTCTTCTTACAGAAACCCTTTTAGAATAAACATCTAAAACCTTAACCGCTTTCCCAAAAGAATGCCCTATCTGTTCCCTCTTGTTAAAAAGCTCTGGCTGGCACCTGAGTCTCATTACAGTGGCTGACTTGCCCTGGTTCCTGAGAAGACCTTGCTCAAGGTCAGCTGAGAGGGCCCAGGGGGCGCCCCACCTGACTGTGCTGGGGAACCTGAGCTCTGAGTCATTCTCTTGGCAAAGAGCTGTTCTGGGAAGAGAAAAGCCAAAGGTGCTGGTGTGAAAGGAAGCTGAGTCACCATAGGGAACACAGGGCTCTTTACCGAGGAAACACTGAATCTGAAGAAAAGAGGAAGTTTGAGAAACTCTAACATGGCGTTTGAGCCAGGACCAGTTAACACCAAAAAGTGTGCAAGGCTGTGTTTATGTTAGTGATTTCTCAAGCATCTAGTAGGCACAATATGAAAGAATTACAATCTACCCCACAGAAGTTTTGAAGATGTCAGCTTTTCAAGGACAAACTGACTTTATCAGTTACTTAAGTTTGATTAAGATAGGAAGAAACTAAAAACAAAGGGAGCTATAAGTTTGTTTTCTGAAGCTGCAGCCTCTTGAGGACCTCTCATCTCAAGAAGTGGTTCCCTCATCTCTTTTAAAATGACATAGGCCACATGTTCGGGGGGATCTCTTGTTCTTGGATAATTAAACTAAAAAGATATTTGAGGAAAAGGGCATAGTAAGTTCATTTTATTTCCTATCATTTCATGCCTTCATTTCCCTTTCTAGTTTCTATGAACAGGGTGCCATTTCAAATGTCCAGTGTCTACTGTAAAACAACATTGTTCTAAGTGCACTGTTGAAAACACTGAAAAATGCTGGTGATGTGAATACATATGAAACCATAGGGATGCTAACCTATATAATGCACTAGCTTAGATAGGAAGAGAGGTTAAGGACCATCAGGATGCTAGCCTATGTAATGCACTAGCTTAGATAGGAGGAGAGGTTAAGGACCACTGAGATGCAAAAAGAAATTGGTAGGTAAAAGCACATGAACAAGAGTAAAACAAAACACATACTTCTTATGTTTCTTGCAGCACTTAAAAGAATGATGGATATTGTTTCTGAGAAAACTGCAAAGGATTACAAAAACAACTCTAAGTAATTTTTACTCACTCATTTGATGCTATTAGAATTAACCAGAGGCAAAGATAAGAACTGGTGTGTATAGCCCAGCTGATATGTGGATAAACCACACTGTTCAATCTTTCCAACCATCCAAACACAGGATCTAGATCAGTAGCTCTGATAATGTGCCACATAATTAATTACATAGGCCCAGGAAGGTAACTGACTGCCATCCCTGGATACCAAGAAGAGAACCTTTTCTTTTGTGCTAATACTGTACCAAATACTTTCTTCTCCTTCCTGTGGCTGGACACCTTATCAATATCTCTATTGACTTCCTATTATTCTCATTTGGCATTTGGGATAAGATGGTAGACAGACAAAAGTGACCAGACCAATCCATCTGCATGGTCAGAGAACGGGAGCGCTGAGGTCTCTTCCTATTCCACAGAGCTCCCTGGTTATTTTCTTGCTGCTAGGGATGTAAGTACAATTGTTCCTAAAAGGTACCTGTTGAGCATACCCATCATGTAGGCACATATGTGAACAGATGTGGGAGGATTACTATAGGGGTTGAAAGGTCATAGTTTGTGCCAAAGCTTTCAGGCTTAGCACCCTGTCTCAGGAGACCCTTCAGAAATGGATTTACTAGGATGGCAATGGCCCCTAGAAGAGTGATTCTCAACTTTCCCAATGCTTTGGTGACTGCCCCAAACAATAAAATTATTTTCACCGATACTGATACTTCAAAACTGTAATTTTGCTACTGTTACAAATCATAATGCCAACATCTGGCTCTTCTGGTGGTCTCAGGTGATCCCTGTCCTGTGAAAGGGTCGTTTAACCCCCAAAGGGGTCCTAACCCATGGGTTAAGGACTGGTGTTCTAGAACAGTGGAGAGTAGAGAAGAGAGTAGTGGAGAGTAGTGGACCAGTTGGAAGCATTCCCTTTTAAATCCACTTATGCTGAGGTCCAATTTTGTAGCTCTAGCTCTACTAGGGTTAGAAAAAGAAGACAGTGAGTTCCATTCAGTCAACTGAAGCCCCAGGTTCCATGTGAGAACTTACATCTAAGATGATGGTTAATAAAGCTCAGGGTACAATGTTGAGGGATGCCAGGGGCTTTCTCTAAAATTAGTCCCATGCTGTAGATTGCAGAATTCCACCTTAGCTGATTCTTATTTGGCAGCAGAATTAGACTGGGAGGTTCCTGAAGAAGTAATAACATCAGCCAAACATATCTTAGAGAATGCAATATAAGTAGTCATAAGATTCATGGTGGACTATGTAATCAATGACATATCACATGTGCATGCTGGGAAGGGGGTGGAAGAAAGCTGTTCACCAAAGCGAAGGCTATGTTCACTTGCTATATGGTCAGAGGTTGCATGTGTGTTTCTATGGAGGATCTTTCCCACTCCGTGTCTCACAGAATATGTGACTCAACTAGAGAGGTCTTTTTTTTTTCTAACCCTTTCCAACATTTTGTTTGGGATCTACCTGCTTCCTATCTAGCCACTGTTTATCTCCTTCCTCAGGCTGTCCTTGGGTAAATGGGTCGACTATGAGAGGAGAACCAGAAAGATTTCTGTGTTGTTTGTTTGTGGAAGAGACCAGAAAGACCTTGGAATGGCTGGCTGTGTATTCAAGCACCTTGAGGCCAGGTCTGCAGCTCTGGCTGATCTGCAACATCCATCTGGTCCTTTCTATCTCAGTCCCTAGAGTGGAATTCAGCTTCTGTTCTCATCCCTCTATTTCTCATGATGGCACTTCAGCAAAGCTCACCACACATCAGCTCCCAGGACCCACATCCTCATCTCCTCCCCAGTCTCAGATAGCTTCTCATTCAGGGGCAAAGATCCCAATTTCTTAAGCTATCTTCAAATCCAGGCACATAAGTGGAATCTTTTTGAATACATGGGAAGTTAGTGATAAATATTACTGTCCATAACAAATGACAATTATTAGCACATATACAGACAAGAAATGAGAAACCTTAGTGACAGCATCTTGGTCATGGCTGGGCTTATTTATTTATTTAGTGGCTGAGAGCAAAATACTTAAAATCCCAGGCTTAATACAACAATGACATAGGTTTCAGAGGCAATCAATCTTCTGCTCAGAATGGAGGAAAGCAAAGCTATACACTTACCTAAAAGCCAATGAGTATTTTATGGAATGCAGACAGAAGCCAAGGAAAGCCTTCCTTGCTTAAAGCACTCTCTGCAGCCGGAAGTATCTGGAGGGGGGACAAGAAGAGAAGGTTGCTAGTGTTTTCTTATTTGTCAAAAATAAGGAGACCATTAAATGAATTCAGCAACAGATAATGGTAAGTCCATTAAAATTAGCTAATATATTTAAATACTAGATAGCAGACACATAAGTAACACAAATGCACTCATTTTTTTGTGTATTTTATTTCTAAGGTTCTTCAACATTTCAACACCTGCTTTATTTTGCTTTTAGAAGAGGATTTAACCCCAAGAACAATTCTACAGAGAGACCAATGTGAAGTGAGACGAGAGAACTCACATAAGCACAGTGTCAGCACTGGCTAGTGTAAGCACCCACAGAGCAGGACACCGAGGCCCGCCAAAGGGGGAACCTGGGTAAGCACGAATCAGCAGGCTGGAGCAGAGATCCTGGGTGCTATAGGATGTCCATGCTACAAGTAATTTCTTAATTTGCTCATTCATTCATTCATTCATTCATTCATTCATTCATTCAGCAAGTACTGACTGAGCATTTTCTGTAAGCCTAAACTAAGTAATGTTCAAGGCTCTAGGGGGTTAAGACAAAAATCTGTGATTTGTTGGCATTAACAATCCAGAGAAGAGTAATTGGGGAAGAAAAACAAAATAAAAAATGGATGCCATCAATGTCATGCTGACATGCGGGCACTTAGAAGAGTGCCTAATGGGAACAAGACAGAGGACCCTAGGGAAGCATGTTTCAGGCAGAGGGAAAAGCCAAGGTCCTGAGGCCAATTGGCCTGGCTGTGCAAGGAACTCAAAGGCGTGACTCAGCAGGGGGTGACCAGTGTAAGTATGTGGCACATATAGAAAGCTGATGAAAGGCAGAGTTTGGAGAATGTTTACTTAGAAGGCAGGCTGGGAAGAAGCAATCAGACCCACCAGGCCTAAGAATAGCCTGGCTTCCCCAGGTCATCATGCCTGAGTGCTGCTGGGTGCCTAGGCTAGTTTCAAAGCGGATCAGTCTTGCGGACTCAGCCAGTGGGGTGCTATGACAGTGACAAGTAGAGGCTACTGACTTAAAGGTTTGAAAAAGAAAGCATAAATGCTGGTTAGGGAAAACACTGTAAGAGGGGTTAGCAGGTTCCTTAACTGAAGGCCAGCCATGGGGAAGAATAGCTCCAATACCCATTTCTCATTTAGAGATATTTACACATAGTAAGATATAGCAAAAATTCTTGACCTTTGAAGTTACACTCCTTTACCAACTCATCAAGACTTAAAAGACATCTAAATTTCAAGTATGCGAATCTTTCAGAAATTACTTTCTATGAGTGCTGGAAAAGCAAATGCCTTAGTCATGGCAAGACGCAGCAGAGAGTTACAGTCTAAGGCCAGGTTTTACAAGCATATGTTTACTGACTATCTAGAAAATAAAGGACAGATTATTTAAGAATCAAACGGCACCCAAGACCAGAAAGAGCATTTTGTGGCAATGCAAACAAATCTAAAATTAATCATAATTAATCATTAATTACTCAGAATATAACAATCATAAAAGTGTTTTGTGATTTTTTTCTAGGTGAATTTCAAATTAGTGGATATGTTATTAAGTCGACTGTGATGCAGATTAGCAATAAAAATGTTCCAGGAAGAAACCTTATATGCATTCTGAGACAAATTAACAGAGGAAGAGAATAAATGACAGTTTATATTTCTTAGGTGTCTAAAATAAGACATGATGATACTTTCAGATATACAGCAGATCTGTGGCCATACACATGTCTTTATGGCATGAGCAGCAGATGTGCTGTATCGAGGAAAAGTCTCTTGAGCAGTGGTCTAGGCTGCATCTTCAAGCTCCTCTTCTACCTCCTCCTAATGAACTGGTCCCTCACACTAGCAATCATACAGAGGTCTGCTCCTGCTTCTGCTACTAGTTATTTAGCTTCTGTCTTCTCAGGGAAGCACTTCTTTCAGGAAGGCCCAAGTCATTCTTTTTGATTTTCCAAAGACCAAACCAAATCAAACCAACCAACCAAAAAGCAGTTAACAGAACCTAGCTCATGGTAAACATCTCTTACTGCAGAACAAAATAATGAAAGAAAAATAAGTCTATTTAAAATTTTTTTCAGATCCAAGAAACTTCAAAAGGGTCAACCCTGAGATATTCATCAACTGCTAATGACATTCCCCTGTTCTTTGAGAATCACAGGTACCCAAGTGTCAGTCACAGCTACCAACAGGGCTGCCCCAGAACTGTGCCCAGTAGCTACTCTGCCCATTGCTCTTCTTTCTGACAATTATTTTTCAGAAGCTGTGGAGCTCTGCTATTTTGTGGCATATCAGAGTCTACATGAAATGGATTGCTACATTTGACCTGGTTTCTGCATCTGTAATTTTAAGCTTCCAGAAGAAAGAGACAGAAAGTATCAAATATGAAAATGTTTTATCTATTATCGATTTTGATATTCTGGGAATTGGACCCAAGACCTCATGCATAATAGCCAAGACCTCTACCAACTGAACTGTGCCCCAGCCCCTGAAAATGCTTTAGTCCCTAAAGCATCATATTTTATGTTCACACTGTTACACTTATTTTTGATTGGTCAGAGCTATCATTCTTCCAGTGAGCTACAGAATTAGAAGGAGAATAAACAAAATTTTCAAGTGTCAGAAAACAACCCCTTCTTATTTTCTTGTCTCAGGGATAGATTCTCCCTACTGTATGGAGAACAAAGTAGCTAAGTAGTGAGGAAAGATAAAAGTGTATGTCTTCATGTTGTTCTGCAGAAACAGCAACTTCCTTTAGTTCTGCTCTGAAAATCGCCTTGTAGTAGATGTTACCTGCCATCATGGGCCATCAGCAGGCAATGCACAGTGCACACATTTATACTTAAGGTTTTAAGAAATTCCTTAAGGCATGATGATTCTTGAAGAACCAGCCCAGCCCCAGGGCACAAACATCACTACTTTCTAGCTTTCTCATGAACACACAACACTTGGGTGAACCTCACAGGAGGTGCCCTGTGCAGTCTTATAGGGGAGAGTGCTTCGGCAGTAAATAAAGAAAAGCCAACAGCTATCTATTTTTAAGGCAATCCCCTTAGAGAGGTAGGAAGTATTCTAGAAGACTAAGAAGGAAGGAAGGGCTAAGAATACAGCTCAGTGACAGACAGTTATCTACAATGTGTTGGACCCTGAGTAGATCCCAACCCTACAAATAAATAATTATTGAATATAATTATGATATAATTGAGAATATTATATATAAATGAGGATATTACATAACTGCATCAATGTATCCCTCCCCACACTACTGTCTGTGCCTAACTTTTAAAGGGCAGAATGGTTCTATGTCTGCAATAGGGGGAATGTCAGTCCACGAATGATGAACGTACAGAAGAGGTGACTGGACTTTGGTAGAAAAAAACAAACAAACAAACAAACTAACTAACCCTAATGTGTTAAGACAATGTATTAAAACAAACCCTAATGTATTAAGAACAAAAAGTTAAGTAATAAAACTGAAGATAAAAGTATATGTTGTGTTACTTTGCAAAAACTGGAATTCCTTTTAGTTCTACTATTAAAATAGCCTTATAGTAGACGCTAGCTGATGTCATGGGCCATCAGCAGACCCCTGGCTAGGGTGTACCAGGGTGGGCACTGTCCACAGTGAGGATGGATGAGGTGTCATATGAAGAATGGCTATGTGTTCATTTCACCACCCAGGGTGTCTCACAGCTGAACACATTTCCCCACTGTCTCAAGACACAGAGATAGTCTATCACTGCTAAAGGCTATCAAAGCCACCATTCCAGAGTCTATCACTGGCCATGGACCTTCCACAATCTCCTACTGTCCTCTTGCAACTGTTACCTGAGTAAATGCTGACTAGATGATGCATTCCTTCCCAGGCAGATTTGGGAGTGAGGGCATGAGGTGCCGTGAGGTGCAATTAGTAAGCTGAAGTGTTCCTCTGCCAAGACTGTATACTGGACTGCTTTAAGCAGCATACAGACCTAGACAAGAGCAGTTATTTTTACAGAATATATAAACTGCAACCTTGGCTTTTCAGGAGCAGGAAACAATTTCTGACAGTTTTCAGAAACTGTCTGACTCTCTCTGCTGATAGCAGACGCATGGTGGCAGCTGGCCAGCCCTGTGACTGGTGACTCAGGACACAAGTTTCTGTGGAGTCTGCGGTCTGACACAGAAAGACATCAGTTTGCAAGTTTAAGGACTAAAAGAGAGGCAGGGGCTCTGAACACAACAGATTGTGTAGTTAAGGGGACTTTCTGAACCTTGGTCTTGCTATCTTTTCTTTCATAGTAGACTACCTTTATTGTAGAACTTAACAGTCTTTATCTCCCTGTCTGGAAAATATACCAGGCAATTCTTAATAGAAAACAAAGTGTTGAGCATGGTAAGAACACATCTCCCTACTGTGATATTCCAACTGCAAGAGCAGCATCTTTTGAACAAAGCCTGGAGGCAAATACTTCCTCAGGCGTGGTTGATAAATACCTATATGTGTCTATTTCCCAGAATGAGATCAAATAACACTCTCAGTACTAAAGAAGCTTCACTGAAGCTACAAGAGGTGAGACAAAGAAACCCATCCAAAATGAAGGCTGCCACATCTGTGAAGAAACAATAGCATGTTACTTCTCCAGCTAAAAGCCAGAGAACAAATCGGGAGCCTCCTGCCTTCTTTTAATTAAAGTATGATCTGCTACATTCTCCATACTATTCAATTATCTGGGAGTCAGGACTCAAAGTGAAGTCAACAGTCTTGACACACACCAACAAAGACACGTAGATAGAAGCAACATTGGCTTTCCCAAACAGAAGAGAACCAATAAGAGTCACTCCCAGGCACATGCACCCTTGCATTCAGGTGAAAACAAGGCTCCTCTGTGAACAGGAGAGCTGTTTACCAGACAAGCAGTCAGTCGCTTCGAGAATGTGTATTAGTATGGAACACAGTGGCACAGACAGCGTCAACAAAGCAAGATCAAATTAGACAGATGACACTATCAGC